GTTTTCTGGTTTTAGTTATTAATAACAATGTGTTCTGTGTTTCGAAAACATTTAGCAAACTTTGTGTGTGTGTGTGTGGGGGGGGGGGGTCCAGTCAGTATGGTGGAATACAAATACCCAGTGCAATACTGCAAAATTATGCATGCTGTAATACATGTTACGGTGACAGATTTCTATATCATAAATATTATTTATCGCCAACATATTTGCTTCATTAGAAGTTCATGTAGGTCAACGATATTTGTTTTGTGGGGGGGGGGGGGTTATAAGTGCACCAAGTCCATAAAAATACTCTATCCATCGAAAAACAGTACTACCGGTAGTATCTCATTTTAAAAAGTGCATTAGGATCATGCAATTAATCTCTTGCATTTATATAGTAAGTCTCATGTTGTACATTTAATGTTTATTTACAGATCCAGCGAACACCACGACCCTTCCCTAAACTACACATCAAGAGGAAAATTGAAAATATTGATGATTTCCGATATGAAGATTTTGAATTGGAAGGTTACTCTCCCCATCCTAAAATACCAATGGATATGGCTGTTTGAAGTGTACTTCTCTTATTTATATATCCCAGTCACTTGTACATTCATACATTCATCTACATTGCTAGTCTTTCTCACAGAACATTGAAAGCAATTTGGCTTTGAAAAATGTACAAATGAGTTGAAAAATGTGCGCAATTGCACGATTCCCACCTACTACACTTTGTGCGTCCTTAAAAAATACTTCAGGGGTGAAAATCGCCCTTTTCCTCACTGCCCATTATATTCTTTTAATGATGGCCTGTGCATGTATTGGACTGTGACGCGCCAGCTAGCTCTCTGATACAAACAACAATTATCCTCCTGCATATTTCGTTTAAAATTGTGTGTCCTTATATTTAAAAACATTACCTTTTTCGGGTATGCATACGTAAGTTGGAATAGCCCGCATTGAGTTTCTAGAGTGCAGGGTGACGCGTTAAGCAACTTGTGAGGCAAAAATGAATTATCCTTCCCGCTTGTTGCATGATTTAATTAATTATTCCTCGCGTCCAATTGTGGATTATTACTTGTATTAACGTACAAAAAATAAATTCGTTGAATTGTTATGAAATGCAAATAAATTTCAACTTAGTTTCATCGTAAGTGAATGACTCCAGTCGCATATTAAACGCTCAATGCTGGAGCTTGACTTGGAACAGAGTTCGTGGACCTGATACGTCAAATCGCTAATTAACCAATCAAAATGGTGGATGATGCCAACATGCTCAAATTACCGTAGCTCATTTAAATGTTATTGTTATTGAACGCAACATGGAAGAAATTTGCCTGTATTGTAGTATGATCTTTTGGCTTGGATTTAGATGGGAAAACGGCATGATTTTTTTTTAAACAAAAAATTAGTTGTTTTCAAAAAATAAACTGAGCATTTGAAGAATAGTTTAACATTGTTTACAATGATAACAGCTCATTGTTGAAACAAAGCTTACCCATTCATGCTAGTCACGATAAAAATCATGCTCTCAATTGAATAGGTGTCAATGACTACGGTAAAACTTAAATTAGACTATTTTAGACGTCCGGAATGATTTAAATGTCCGAAAATGACGCTAAAATATTTATAAAAAAAATACCTTAAACTGCCAAAAAAACAAACCAAACTGCCATTGTATAGACAGAATTACTCTGATTGTAAGATAATGTTCAGAATGTTATTAACATTAAAGTAATAACAAATAATGAAATTATTGTGTGGACTATAATTATTTTATTTGCGAAATAACATACTTTTATAACACAAAATGCAAAACATAACAATTGCTAACAATGGAGAACGTGATGAAAAAATACTGCCAATGTATATAATAAGCAAATTTATGCTTATTAGAAATTCACCCTCTATTTTGATCTGAAGGGGCAACAATCCCCCTCATACATACAAAGCTGGAGAAAACACTGGGTATGATTGAAGGCATACAATCACAGTATGGGCAATATAAACTTTTGAGCCAATCTAAATTACATATTTTAATTTCACTGAAATTGAAGGCTAGTATTTATAAATTTTTATAAATATATCGATCTATGGTATAGATTTGTCATTCACTGATATACGGTAGCATTCAACACATTGTAATTCCATATTCAAAATTGACTTTATGGGAGAACAAATTCAATGTGAAGCATTGTCATTACCTTGTAAGCACCAAGTGTTTTCAAATGCCTGATTGTAGGGAAAATTGTACGAGAATGAGAAACGTGTAATGATGAAATGTGTGAACAATATATATTTTGTAGAAAACTTTTGGAATGCAACTCCACACCTTGTTCACAAAGCTAGTTTGGGACAAATTTGCCACTGAGAAGCGGTATTTTCAGCTCAAGAGAATGCCTTGAAATTTATATAACTACACTTTTCGAGAAAGAACACTGATGCTTGAGACAATATCAGCAGTGCTTGTAAACATGCACTCTAAGTCAGTACTTTATTAAACGTGCAAGGCATTTGACGAAACATTCTGCAGATTCATATGCAGATTGTAAACTGTGCTTCTGTACTAGTTGAGGGGTCTGTAATCTCTACGGGAATATAGGTGTCGCTTACATATGGATACAAATGTGTGGTTTACAATCTCAAATTGTTATAAATGCAGATTGTAAACCTTTTCCTCTACAATTTGAGTGGTTTTATCTGGTCATGTTCACAATATGTACAATGTATATATTTAAATGAAGTATGTGGTTTACAATCTGCAAATATAAGTGCTTAATTTACAATGTGCAAATAGACAATCGTTCTTAACAATCTCCATAGAAATGTATGGTGTGGTTTACAATCTCTGTATGAATTGAAATGTGTGGTTTACAATCTCTGTATGAATTGAAATGTGTGGTTTACAATCTCTGTATGAATTGAAATATGTGGTTTAAGATCTCCATATAAATACAAGGGTCTGGTTCAAATTCCCCATATGGATTCAAGTCAGATTTTAACTATGCCCCTGTACAATATGTAGTCTTATTGGGAATACAGGTCACGTTTACAACAATGACTGAATACAAGTACATGTGGTTTACAATCATAGAAATGCATGTGTGTTATTTAGAATGAATGTATGCATCTGAGTATGTAGATTACAATCTGCAAATACATGAGTGATTTACAATGTGCAAATGAATATCAAAGTGGTTTACAATCTCTATATGAATACAAATGTGTGGGTTCAATCTCCATACAAAATACAAGGGTGTGGGTTCAATCTCCATACAAAATACAAGGGTGTGGGTTCAATCTCCATACAAAATACAAGGGTATGGGTTCAATCTCCATACAAAATACAAGGGTGTGGGTTCAATCTCCATACAAAATACAAGGGTATGGGTTCAATCTCCATACTAAATACAAGGGTATGGGTTCAATCTCCATTATAAACGATAGTTTGCAAGTGTGATTTATAATCTCCATACGAATTCAAATGTATAGTTTACAATCTCCACATGAATACAAGGATATGGTTTATATGAATTCAAATATGTGGTTTACAATCTTTATCAACTAAAATCACAAATAGCACATTAAACACATGTAATTATAAAAGGCAGAAAAACGTGATAATGTAAAACAAAACTGAAATACAAGTTTACTCCACCAAAATCATGAATAAAACATTAAATTAGTTATTACATCCATGAATACATGTAACTAAAAATAGAAGAAAAACGTCTGGTTTACAATCTCCATCACTCATATGATAAGCTAGATCTCCATTATTTTGTAATAGTGTTTCGCGATCTCCATGGAAATACAAGTGTACGATTTACAATCA